GATAATAATTGTACCTCCTCAGATTTTCCAAGTAATGAATAAAATAGTTCTGTATGATATTACTTATAAAAGTATATGGTATATAATATCTGCTCAATAAACTCTAAAATTCCCTTATTGCCAAACCAATGCATATCTGGAGGAAGGGGGGCTGCTCTTGAATGGAGAACTTCTTAAATTTTTTTTTCTCATGGTGTTTCCAAATATTGACACATATTTTATAGTATATTCATAAGTGGGGATATAATTCCTGAAATAATTCCTTATCTATTCCATCAAGGAGGGTATATTTGAGTGTAAATGACACTCTTACAAGTATAATAATGAATTTCGTACAAGTTATTAAGTGATTTATTCTTATATTTGTGCCACAATATATTACAAATAACTATAACTGTAACAGACTTTATAATTGGTCTTTAAAAATAATATGATTTCCTATAGATATTAAATAGGTTTTATTTCATAGGACAGTTCCAACCAACTTGTGAGAACTGTACTGATTTCAAAACAGATGAGGAATGGGAAATGAATCAGTTCATTCAGGAAGGATCTCTAACTGAATAAAATATCTACCACTAGGACCATGACAGTTTATTTGGCATTCTTAGATTTTGTTTAACTTTGTAACATCTTATTGAAGTAAAATAGTCTATCATATTGATGAGTGTTTAAAATCTGTGTAAAATATTAGTTGACTATGAGCGTGGATTTACTTTTCAGCTTTTGATACTGCTTCAATGATCAATGCATTTATTTTTATGCTATTATCATACAGTTTTAATTCATGTATCTTTGTAGTATAGTTTGAAACCAGAAAATGTGATTCCTTTGGCTTTATTCTTCTTTTTTTTTTTTTTTTATCCTCACCCGAGGACATTTTTCCATTTTTTGTTCAGGTAGAATAGGAGGGAGAGAGAGGAAGGGAGAGAGAGAGAGAAACATCGACGTGAAGGGACACATCGAGTGGCTGCCACCCGCACGACCAACCAGGGCCGGGGACAAACTGCAACCGAAGTACGTGCCCTTAGCGGGAACCGAACCCGGGTCTCTCCGGACCGCAGGCCGACGCTCTAACCACTGAGCCAAACTGGCCAGGGCTTTATTCTTCTTTTTCAGGATTGCTTTGGTTATTCAGGATCTTTTTTGCTTCCATACAAATGATTTCTCTTTCTGTGAAAAATGATATTGCATTGATTTCCTTTCTTTTTAAAAATTTATTGGGGTGACATCGATTAATAAGTTCAGATTTGTTTTGAGTGTATATTTCTATGATGCATGATCTGTACATTGCACTGTGTGCCTATCACCCAAAGTCAAATGACATTACTATTTTAATAGGGATTGCATAGATCTATAGTAGGCTTTAGAGTTTATAGTATGGCCATTTTAACAATATTAATTCATACTATGCATGAACATGGAATACCTTTTTATTTGTTTATATTTTTTTCAATTTTTTTCCCTCAAAGTCTGGTAGTTTTCATTTTGTACATCTTTTACTTTTATGGTTAAATTTATTCATATTCTATTATTTTTGATGCTGGTGTGAATAAGAGAATTTTTTAAATTTATCTTTCATTTGTTTTCATTGCTAGTTTATAAAATAGCAGCTGATTTCTGATTATTGGTTTTATATCCTGCAACTCTATTAAATTTGTTAATTAGTTCCAACATTTTTTTTTTTTTGGTTCAGTCTTTAGAATTTTCTGTATATAAGATCATAATTGTAAATAATGACAATTTTACTTTCTGATTTGAATGCCTTATATTTCTTTATTTCATTTATTTCCTTTCCAATTTTAACACCTTTTATTTCATTATTGTGCTTGATTGCTGTCATTGGGGCTTCGAATTCTAAGTTGAATAAATGTGGTGAGTGGGCACCTTTGTCTTTTCCTCAATTTAGAGAAAAATCTTTCAATCTTTCATAAATGTATGGATTTTATGTATATTCCTTCTGTACCTGATTTGTTGAGGATTTTTGTCATTAAAGAATGTTGTATTTTGTCAAATGCTTTTTCTGAGATGATCATAGGATTTTATCTTTCATTCTATTGATGTGGTGTGTCACATTTAGTAATTCACATGTGTTAAACAACCCCTGTTTCCAGAGATAAGAATTGGAATATTTAAACAGAGAAAATGACAGGAACAATGTTTCATGGTTGGAGCGTATGGGATTTGCTTAGGAGATGAAAATAATCTTTTTTTGAAGTCATTTATGGCTCCAAAGAGCTATGCACATATATCTTTCTAAGTTCTTTCTTCAGGGATGTCATCTTGGTAGTTTAAATTTGATTTTTTTTTTATTGATTAATTATTGTTACAGATGTTTCTCCTTTTTTCCCCCCACTGATTCCCCCCTCCCCCTCCCTCCCTGCCCCTTCCCCAGATTGTTGTCCATGTCCACTGTTCATGCATACATGCGTATAAGTTCTGTGGTTCACCCCTCCCCCACCTCCCCACTTTTTAGGGGATTGTCTGTACCCCGCTTCCGCGTCTCTGGGACTACCCCATTCCTCAAACTGTTATGTTCATTATATTCCACAAATAAGTGAGATCATATGAAATTTGTCTTTCTCTGTTTGGCTTATTTCACTTAAGATGATACTTTCAAGGTCCCTCCATGTAGTCTCAAAGGATAAGAGATCTTTCTTTCTTACCGCTGCGTAGTACTCCATTGTGTATATGTACCACAGCTTTTTTATCCATTCGTCTACTGATGGACACTTGGGCTGTTTCCAGATCTTAGCGATTATAAATAGTGCTGCTACAAAGATGGGGGTACATATATTCTTTCTGATTGGTGTTTTATGCTTCTTAGGGTATATTCCTAGAAGTGGGATCACTGGGTCAAATGGAAGATCAATTTTTAATTTTTTGAGGTGACACCATATTGTTTTTCATAGTGGCTGCACCAGTCTGCATTCCCACCAGCAGTGCACTAGAGTCTCCTTTTTTGAACATGATGGAAATATTAACACCACAGAAATCTTCAAACATTGTAAATCAGTGTTTTCCACTTCATCCCCCTAAATGAAGAGATGGTTTCTTTGCACACAACTGAGGCAGATAACTTGGTTTAAATAGTGTCTTCCACTACTATCCAACAACAATACAATCTTAGATGGTTTTAAACTCCAAGACTTCAAATGTTGTCTTCCATAATAGCAAAAAAAAGTTATTTTTTAGTTTTTTTTTATTAGTATTGTATGAGATAGGCAACATAAAGCACTAAGAACACTGCCTATTAATTGGTGGATGCTTGATAAATGTGTGCTAATCTAATAGTATTATTTTACTTGAGGATTTTCAGAAACTGAGGCACTGTACTGTAAGATAAGGCAATTAGAGAGCAATGGGCTCTAGGAAAGTTAACTTGGCCCAGCTGTGGAACATTTGTTAGCGCTTGTAAAGTGCAGCAAACCGTGCATATGATAACTAAGGACCTGGGCATTCTGAGCAGCCCTGAAGGGCAGTCACATTTTGCAAAAGCCAAAATGGCTGATTTGTGGGAATATGTATTTACTGACACATCTGTTTTCTAAAATATTGTTTATCTCTGACTAGTTTGGCAATTATACTATAAGCTGAGCTTTTTCTAAAATAGAACTTGAATAGTAAAATCATATTTCCAAGTATCATTAAAAATTAAAACCTCAAATATTTATATTACATAAATATGAATAATTAACTCAGTGTTATAAATATATTCAGATATATTTATCAAAAGTTTTAGGTGACTTAAACATGGATACAACAGTCTTTAATCTGAATGATGTTCAGAGTATTTATTAGATGTGAACATACACACAGAGTATTTATTGGATGTGAACATACACACATAAATTTAAAATTAAATATGTCTCTTTAAGTGATGACAAAGTTATCTAAAAATTAAAAATAAAAATACAGCTTCGGTATTAGAGAAATCTTAGAATATACAAATTTTTATAAGAAATTGACAGAGAGGAGAGAAACAAAGAGAGAAAAGTAATTTTGTGTTAGGTCCTAAATCATGATAAGGTTTAATAGAGAAAAGGTTATCAAAATATAGAAGAAGTAAGACTGGAAGGCCATATAAGCAGAGATAAAAATATCAGGTATTCATATTTAATTTAATTTTATAGCCTATCTGTCCACATGATTAAGTAATTTTTGTTTGTTTGTTTGGAATTCAGTTCTTTATGTAAAGTCCCTTATAAAAAGAAAACGATAAAACACACCCCAAAAAAAAGGGGCAAGCAAGCAAGATTAAAAAACAAAAAAGGAAGCCCTGGCCAGTTTGGCTCAGCGGTTAAAGCGTCGGCCTGCGGTCCGGAGAGATCTGGGTTCGGTTCCCGCTAAGGGTACGTACTTTGGTTGCAGATTGTCCCCGGCCCTGGTTGGTCGTGCGGGTGGCAGCCACTCGATGTGTCCCTTCACATCGATGTTTCTCTCTCTCTTTCTCTTCCTCTCTCTCCCTCCCACTCTACCTGTACAAAAAATGGAAAAATATCCTCGGGTGAGGATAATAAAAAAAAAAAAAGGAAAAGAAAACAAGGGCAGAGGACTTATGCTTCTCCTCAGTTTTTTCCTTAGTCTCCTCATCTTTGGACTTCTTATTCTCTTTCTTCATGCAAAGAGCTTCTAGCTTTTCAGCCACTTTCTCTGCATTAAAGATTTTTTTCCCTGATCCTGCCTGGTGAGAGCCTGGGATACACTCCCCACAGGATAAGCCTCTCTTCTACTGTATGCCCTCAGAGTCACACACATAAACACACACTCATACCTGAGACCTTTTTCAGTCTGCTCTGTTACGTCTGGTCACTTGCTATGGCAGTCATCATCAGAGGTACTGAGTAAGTAGGGGACCATGGGGATCTCTCCAAGTCCATTCATCCTCTGTAGGGCTCTATTCAGATACTATGACTTGACCACCTGTTCAAGTACTTCAAGCCCAGGCCAGTGAGTATGCACTAGAGGCCTGAAAGGCCGGCTCACTCCCCCAAAAAGTACCCTGTATACCTGAGCACCTGCATTGCCCTTGACAGATCAAGGCAGTCATAGCATCCCGAATGTTACTGTGCTAGACAGAAAAAACACCAGCCTGGGACTGCAACTGGGCACTGAGTGAGTTTGGATTAAGTAAAATTTTATATGGGAAAAGTTTATCATTAAAGACTTGTTATGACTATTTTTCTACTTGGCAATGTAGGAATTTAATTATTTTTATTATTATTAATACGAAATTAATTATTTGGCAAGGAAAAATAATGCTTTTATGCATTTTAGGCTGATATGACATTTATGTGAGTTATGACATGTCCTTCTGGTTTTCATTCTTCTGAGCACATCTCAGGGTCAAAAGTAGACTCGATATGTGTATTTTCCTTTTGGGCAACTGGCATTTTATTGAGCTCTTTGTTTTATACCTAATTTGTCTATCATGTAACTTTATTATGTTTTTTTTTCCCCCTTGAGCAGATTCTTTTCAAAGAATATGGAATCTTCAAAGGTTAATAGATGTAAGTCTCACTGATAAGGGAAACGCACACTGAAAGAGATTGTCTCACAATCTTCAGCAGAGCTAATAAGGGAATCTGGCAAAAGCGGAAAAGAAGAGTTACCTTTTTAAGAAAAAAAAAAATGAAAGTGGCAGGTTCATTGACCCTGCCCATTTAGATTTAAAACATAACATTAAATAAATTATAGCACAAAGCCGTTATATAAGCTTCATTTGGCTTAGCAAAAATTGGTACATTTTGTTAAGAGAGCAGATGGTGACACTGTGATTGTGGACAGCACTCTCCAAACCTAATTGAGAATGCTTCTGGAGAAAAGAAAGAGGCAGGTGCAATATACAGCCACCCTACACAGCCATCACACACATCTATTCTTAGATATGAAAAAAAAAAACATGGTTTCTTTAGTTTTTTTATTAGTAGGTTCATCAACTGCTTTGGAGATTGAGGTGGGATATTGAGAAACATGTGTTTGAGTTTGATGATCTCTTAATTTACAGTTATTTCAACCACAAAGAAATGCCTAACATAATTAAAATGATAATATTTTGGAGGCAGTCTCCACCAACAGAAATTTAAGGAAATATGAGAAAATAATAATATATTTGATTCTGCAGAATAGTAAAAAAATTCTATAATTTGCATCATAAATTGCTTAAGTGGTTCACAAAAAGCCTCTGTTAATGCATACTTAGATTTTTATCACTAAATTCGAACATTTTGTCTACAGGAAAAATTATATGATTTTGTGTTGGAATGGGTCAGCCAAATAATATTATAATTGAGTAAATCAAGCCTCAAGTAGAATTAATTATTTTAAAAGGTCATGTGGCTTATGAGAGAAATATCAAGTACTTAAAATTTGTTAGCAAGATTTTGTATGTAATTATCATAATTTCTGAATCTATCTGACTTAGCAGCTGGGAAAGTTATTATACCACATAACAAAATCTGTATAGAGGGGGCAGAGATTCCAAGGATGTTTACTTCAGCAGCTCAACTGTCTTCAAAGATAAAGTTGCATTCCATATCTTGATTATGTCATCTTAGATGTTACAACTTAGTCCTCAGGCTGATTCACCTCATGGTCACAAGGTATCTGAGCTGTGGGAAGCTTCTGAGGAAACAGGATTCCTTGTCCCATCCACTGGAATTGAGAGAATTCTCTTTGCCAAGTACTGAAGCCATACCTTTTAATCAGATTTGGCCAACTTCAGTCACTCTATCTATCTTTGGACAAATAAAAGTCAAAAAATGCCAAGTAAAATAAAAATAATATTAAAGATTATGATAATGATAAAACTAGCATTCAATGGGTATATATTATGTACCAAATTCATTTATATCATATGTTTTATATGCATCTAATATACAGGAATGCATATATACTCAGGTGGAATGGAAACTGTTTAGACATCAAAGAGCATTAACTATAGTCTCTTAAATTCTTGTATCCTACACCACCTGATGATGTATATTAAAAAAAAAAAATACTCATAATGGAAAAGGTCCATTGGTAATTATTTTGTTATTGTTGTGTTTTAATAAGAATAAACTATAGAAAATTAGTTTGGTGAAGATCTTAAAGTTTATTTAGTCAAAACAACAAAACAACTATCTCATAGTGTTGGTGAGGGTGTGGGGAAAAAGAGGTCCCTCATGCACTGTTGGTGAAAATGCAGATTAGTGCAGCCACTATGGAAACAGTATGGAGGTATCTCAAAAAATTAAAAATGGAATTTTCTTATGACCCAGTGATTCCACTTTTGGAAATATGTACAGAAAGATCCACTAATTTGAAAGAATATATGCACCCCTATGTTCATTGCAGTGCTATTTTAAATAGCCAAAATTTGGAAAAAGCCTATCAGTAGATGAGTGGATAAAAAAGCTGTGGTACATTTACACAATAGAATACTGCTTATATGTAAGATAGAAGGAAATCTTACCTTTTGTGATAGCATGAATAGAACTGAAGAGTATTATGCTAAGTGAAGTAAGCCAAAGAAAGACAAGTATCATATGATTTCACTTATATGTAGAATCTAATGAATGAAATAAACTAATAAAAAAAATAGGCTCATAGATACAGAGAAGAGATTGACCACTATCAGAAAAGAGAAAAGTTGAGGGTTGAGTAAAAAAGCTGAAGGGATTAAAAAAAGCTCATAGACACAGATAACAGTATAGTGATTAACAGAGGGAAATGGGGTGAAGGAAGGAGACTTGACTTGGAGTGGTCAATACACATACAATATATAAATGATGTATCTTAGACTTGTACACTTCAAACCTATATAATTTTATTAAACAATGTCACTCCAATAAATTTTTAAAAATCTATCCCATTTTTCAAAATGAACAAACAAAATTGAAACAGAACACAGACAGTAAAGTGGTAGTTGCCATAATGGAGAGGTTGGTGAAGAGATTAAGTAGTACAAATTGGTAGTTACAAAATAGTCATGGAGATGTAAGTAAAACATAGGGTATATAGTCAAGAATATTGTGATAATTCTGTATGGTGCCAGTTGGGCTACTGGAAATATCGAGGGAAACACTATGTAAAGTGTATGATTACCTAACCACTAAGCTGTACACTTGAAACCAATACAAAATAAAATGGAAAGAAAAAAATATTAATGTGAAAAAAATTGCAATCTGATAAGACAGTCTGTGATTTTAGTAAAGTTCTAAGAAGATACTGATGCAGTATATTTAACTACCAGCTGTGGTGTCTTTTCCCCCACTCTCTGGTAATAAAATATTTAAGTACTCCTATGTTACTGTTCCTATTTCCAAAAAAAAAAAAAGAAAATGTGAAGTTGCATTGTACTTTTTGTCTTTCTAAATCATTTATGTTATTTTTGCTCTTTAGGTTTAAGATTAATTCCCATAGGCACTTAAAAAATATATTTAACTGAAGTATAATAATTAATTTTTACAAATTTAACACAATTACATACTAGCATCCAGATCAGGAAAAGAGAATATTAATATCAACCCAAATATCAATAATTACATTGGTTTTGGAATTGAAGCAGTACTACTCAGTGTCTATTGGGGAATTCAAACTCCAAATATATTTTGTTTTCTAAGTGTTTCAGGTTAAAATTCATCAAGGAATCTTATACAAATCATAATGCTGGAGTCCAAAAACAATTGTATTATGCATATAATTAATATTTACTTTAGCAAACCCTCCATTGTTTCTTTGATGACTTTACTCTCCAGAACATTAAAAAAAAGAATAGTGATAAAAAATATATTCATTATTTTCTCAAATTAATCACTCTTTATTTCATATTATTTAATATGCAGAAATTTGACTAACAGCCTCATATCACAATGACTTTTATATTGGCAAGACCACCCTAAAATTGATACTGTAAAGCATTAATGTTTTTCCTGAGGCCCTCTCAGAAAATAGTCATTAATTCAGTTGACAATGGATAGCTGATTTAAGTATTAAATAATTTTTTATTCTCTGTTTCACACTCATTGTTCTTCCACAGTTGGAAAGAGCAACATAGTTTTTAAAAAAGTAAATTTATTGCACTTATTTTCAAAATTTAAGTGTTCAGAAATTATATTCAATGACTTTCGTCCTGTTCATGTTTTTTTTCATCTCTTCATGTGCCAGATTCTTTATTGAAGACGGCCAAGAAATTTCAGTTTGTTTCCAAATATTAGTGATGAAAAAGGTTCAAATAATTCACCACTGGTTTAGAAAAATATACAAAACAAAACCAATTATTTTTATTTTTTTCTTAATTTTTATTAATTTATTTTTGTTACAGATATTTCTCCTTTTTCCCCACTAGACAGCTTCTGTCCCATCCCCCGCCCCCAGCACTGTTATCTATGTCCATTACTTCTGAATACATGCATGTAAGTTCTTCAGTTTACCACCCACCCCTCCTCGTCTGAGGTTTGTCAGTCTGAACCATACTCATTTCTATGCTCTGGGTCTATTTTCTTCATTATATTCTAAAACTAAGTGAGATCATGTGGTATATGTCTTTCTCTGATTGGCTTGTTTCATTTGGCATAATACCTTCTGGGTCACTCCATGTCATCTCAAAGGATAAGAGATCTTACTTTCTTATTGCTGCATAGTATTCCATTGTATATATGTACCACAGCTTTTTTATCCACTCATCTATTGATGGACACTTGGGCTGTTTCCAGATCTTAGCAGTTGTAAATAGTGCTGATATGAACATAGGGGTACGTATATTCTTTCTGAGCAGTGATTCAGGCCTCTTAGGATGTATTCCTAGAAGTGGGATCACTGAGTCAAATGGCAGTTCAATTTTAATATTTTGAGGAAACACCATATTGTTTTCCATAGTGACTGCACCAGTCTGTATTTCCACCTGCAGTGTACTAAACCCTCTTTTTCTCCACTCCCTGGTCAGCATTTGTTGTTTAATGACTTGTTGATGGCAGCCATTCTGGCAGATATGAGGTGATACCTCATAGTTGTTTTAATTTGCATCTTTCTGGTGATTAGTGATGCTGAACATTTTTTCATATGTCTCTTGGCCATTTGTATGTCCTGTTGGGAGAGGTGTCTATTTAGGTCCTCTGCCCATTTTTAAATTAGGTTCTTTGT